TCAGTCTGCGCATGTCTGGATCGCTCACAAGTCGCGGCTGATTGATTGATTACTTTTACCGTCATCCTGCATGCACGAGAATTGTCTTTGACATTGACACCCTCTATCTTTATAAAAAAGATAACCTAAACTTACAGCTTCTCTCTATAAACATCCTTCAACATTAGCAAGGTCTCACATGCCTTGCTTTCAACCAACAGCACCTATATATCTAGACAAGAAATGCAACTACTCTAACCAGCCATGGTCTATATCTCTTGTCTTTAATTAATGGGCCTACTGCTGCCCACTCTCCTTCTGCTTACGCTCCGCCTCCCGCTTCAGTTGGTCAGGCCGGCGTACAGCGATATCCTTCGGCCGGAAATCGCTGAACAAGGTCTTGAGCACATTCTCAATGAGCCAGCATCCTGCGTAATCGATAATCATCAGAACAGTCAGGGTCAGTTTAAACTCGGTGCTAAACGGGACCAGGCGAAGCTTCTCGTTCAGTTCAGGCACAAATTCGGTTGCACAAGAAAAGGCGACACCAGATGCCGCAACCAGACCCCAGTACATAGCCTTGTTCTCGCGAATAGACTCTCGGAAGGGGCGGCCTTGGTAGTTGATCGAGAACGTCGAAATCTGCTGGATAAGCTGCAAAAGATAGATGGCGCTGTTGAGGAGCGACGGCTCAAACTCTCCCTCCAAATCAACGTCGGATTGTCTCCTGCGACCGAGTCAGTTATAAACACTACAGGACCTATACCAAAGCAAATGGGAACTCACGGCTCGATGCTGTACACATAGTTCGACAGGTAGATCAAGGTGGCAATGTGGATGGCGAACTGGCCGAGCACGGAGCCGATGATGTACACGTTGAAGATGTTTGGCTGAGGGCGCTCCTTCGACAGACCTTCAACAGACTGCAGTAAATATTTAGTGTCAGGTACCTCTAATGTAATGCTTGATCGCCTACCTTTGCACGAGAGATTGACAGGAAACAGACACTCATCAGCATACCGCTGATAGTCACCTGACCGTCACCAAACTTGATACCGTCCAAGTAGATAACACTCAGACTGTAGGCACTGATCAGACAGTTCAAGGCAAGAATCTTGTACATCTGAATCGTTGCGACCAGTGTGCAGCGACCCTGACGCAGAATGTTGGGAATAGCAACGACATTTGCCAATTTGCTGGTAAAGGGTGCAGCGACAGAGGCATCACCGAGTTTGAGGGTCGGGGGTTCGTTCTCGTCCAGCTCCTGCTCCATCATGGAAGTAGTAAGCTTATCGGCAAACCCAGCAGCTGCCACAGAGGCTTGTTGCTGGCGCTGTTGATGAGGAGTCAAGTTGGTATTAGATTGCTGCAGAGCACGTGCGCCAGGAGATGTGATGGTGGGGATCGCCTCTGCTTGGGCCGGCGCAGCCTGGACGGTGGTACCCTTACGCTGCGCTTCGCGTTCCATGGCCTTTTGATAGTGCGGGTTGCTAGGACCTGGAGGATAAAGGTGTGCAATTTGCACAGGCACGGGTGGAGCCGGCTGGTTGAAGCGCTGCATCATGGAAACCTGCTTCTCGTAGATTTCCTTCATCTTCGTTGTCCGATAGTGCTCAGCAATCTTTGTGAGATCCTCAGGGGAGCCATTCAGAAGTGCAACACCGACATGGGCTTGCTTCAGGGCACCGACGTCGTTCGTTCCATCACCGCACATCAAAGTCGTATAACCAGCATCCTTGAGACCAAGAAGAATGTCCTCCTTCTGTTTGGGGGAAACGCGAGCATAGACCCAAGTGTGACGAAGGAGATCAGGAAGTGCCTTCTGGCCCTTGAACTTGGCCAAAGCGTAGCCCGTGACACAGATATCGTTGGTTTCCAGGATACGGCGATCGAGATCCTGGGTGGGATCAACATCAATATTGAGCTTGTCGTCGATACTGCGCCAGACTAGTCTGGTTCCTGACGTGTCGTGTTCGGGAGCGTCGAGGATCAATACATCACGGTCCACAATTTCAACTTGGCGAGCAACGTGCACGGCAGTCAGAGGATTGTCACCAGTGATCATGACGACACGGTGGCTGCTTTCGTTGAGCATACGGACGGCTTTGATAGCGTCATCCTTCAGGGGACACTGCAAGACGAGGAAACCGGCGAAGATCAGGTCGGACTCCACCTCTTCCCTGGTGTAGTTGTTGATACGAGCGCGAGTGAGTTCAGCTTCATGAGAGAGATACTTGTAAGCGAGGGCAAGGACACGAGCGCCGTTACGAGTGAAGTACTTGAAAGTTTCCTCGTAGTTCGGCGGGGTGTCGATCAGCATAGACCTAATGGTTTCGGGGGCACCCTTGACACCGACAAAGGTTGATTTGACCTTCTTGTGCGTGCTGCGGTCATCGGAGACAATTGTGGCGATGGTACTCTGACGCTTCAGTGCGGAAGAGAATTGGAATCGTCTGATAACCTGGACGGACTCGGGAACCCGAGAAGCAGTGGCCGAGACCTTGCCGGTCAGGGTGTCATTCTTTCCTAGTGTCCAGCCAAGCCATTTCAGCGTGGCCTTTTCCATAGGGTCACCAACAACCTCGCCCTCATCAAGCTTCACTAGTGCGTGAGCGCTTGCAAGAACCAGGGACGTATCGAGTCCGACATCGCTGCTCTTGGCGAGTTCAGTGTGGGCACCATCTTTCTCAACCTTTGCGCCTGCTTGACCAAGAGTCAGACCGGCAACACCGTCGACAACAAGATCCTCCCCGGTCAAAGTACCGGTTTTATCAAAGCAGGCAACATCGACCCGGCCGGCGAAAGGGATTCGGAAAGGCTCAGTGCAGAAGATAGCAAACTTGCTCAAAGCGGCCAAACTAGTGTTGACAGCAAGGCTGAGCTCCATAGGAAGTTCAGGAGGAACGACACTAGTGATGATGAGGACACAATCCAGTAGCAATTTCGACCTCTTGCGATCCTTTGCCACACCCTCCTGCCAAACATACCATGAGGCGGCAATGGCGAAAATGAGCAGGAACAGAATAAAGAGCAGTGCTTCCACGTTGTTGGCAGACACCCGCTCGGTTGAATAAATCATGGTACGCACGAGACTACCCTGGCTTGTTTCGAAACCGGTTTTCACGACAACACCAAGCGCGCCAGAATCGGGCGTGGGAAGGATGCCGGAACCATCGTGAGACTTGGCAATATCGTCAGATGTGGTGTTCGCATGAGTAATCTGCAGGACTTTGGTTCCTCCGTGTACGAATGCGTTCTTGTCCAATCCATCCGGTTCGATCAGGTCGTCGCCAGGCCTCAGTTGGACGGACTCCTTCAGAAGTGGTGTACTCTCACCAGAGAGCATAGCCTCGTTGACAATAACACTTCCTTCAATCAAGAGGATATCACACGCCACACCACTGTCTTCCTTGGTTCGGTTAACCGACATCAAGTCACCGGGCAAGAGCTTGTCACTGGTAGTCTTCTGCCATTGTTTCTCCCGGAAGACCCAGACTTCATACGGCTTGATGCTCATTCCCCGGAACTCATTGAGCGTCCGCTGGCGCTGCCACACCACCGTGCTCTCAAACATGACAAGCATGAAGAGGGTAAACAACGAATAGTACCAGTACTCGTCCAACATCCACAAACCAACGCAGAAGATTTGGAAAACGAAGAAAGGCGCAACTGCGTGCTCCTTCCAAAGTTCCACAAAACCGGGCACCGGAATATCAAACGTGTTATCGCCATAATGGTGCTGAATGCGTTCGACCTCTTCCTTGGTGGTCAAGCCTTGGGTCTTCTGGAAGGTCTTGAGGGCAGGTTTGGGCTCAGCGTCGAGGACGTAGGACAAGGGGGCAAAGCATCGGCGTTCAGGGTAGTAGAGAAAGCGGCGCTTCTGAAACAGGAACGAGACCGTCTTCTTTCCACCCCGAGTGTCGAAGAGCAATGGGCAGACCTCAGCCGAACCAGCATTAGCTGCTGGAATCACCTTGATAAGCCGAGCGGAGTCGATCGATTTAGCCTTAGTAGTGGTGAACAGTGTCTGGATATCGATGTTCCAATTCGTCATCAGCCACAAAAGCGACTGGACCGTGATAATGGAGCCAGCATACACAAAGGTCCATTCTTGACCTTGAATGTATGTATCGTAGCGTTCAGGGGAGAGATAAAAGGCGAAGAACGCAGGCCAGATGATCAGGAACGGCCATACATAAGTGTGCAACTGAGTGGGAAGGGGGTTATGGAGGGAGGAGTATTTGATCTGGGGATCTTCGACGAGTCCTGGCCTGGGCATCATCAACTTGTCAGTAAGCGGCCGGTCAATGCACGCGATACAGCGAAGGTGTCTCGACTCACATGGTGACACTCGAATGACCACGACGCGGGCCAGACGACGCGAACTTGAGAAACCAAGAAAGCTTCAATAGACCATAGGAAATAAAGGGCCCAAAGCCTTGATGCCACCAGTATATCTCCGAAGTGCAGGTCGAAGAGGAAAGCACGAAGAAGCCACCTCGACAGTATAATTTTGGGATTCGCCGCCGAGGATTGAACGTACGGAAGGCCCCGTTGCTCGCGATTGGTCGCCGCCACGTGCCGGGACGGAGCTTGGATTTTCCCGACTTTCGCTGGTTCCGATAAGCAGGCAATCTTGATAGCAACTAACTACTAATGATTACGGAGTTTCACTCCGTATGCTGATAAGAGTGATCCATTCAGATGGTAAGGACTTGACTCTTTGCCCACTTTGCAAATTGAGCCTACGCTACTCCAGTCCGCCGTCTTTGTTTAGCGAGTTGGCGCTGAGGTGCTACGTAGAAAGTCACCGAAACTCCAGCCTCGGATTTAACGTCTAGCTAATACTCGTGATAGGCATTGGTAGCTATAGGTATGAATACGCCAAGATCTGCACGGAGTTCTCATAGGTTCTTTACACACCAAATAATGATCTCTTGATATTTAGCCCTCAATACAGGAAGCCAGGGGTTCAGTTGCTTTATTGTCAAATCCAGCTCGGCACCATGACATGTGATAGATTACTACCATTAACATCATGATGCGAAGCAGTCAAGATGGTTGTGCCGGAGCTGAGATTGGATTATGTCGCATAGCCTTTTCAAGTAATTGTCTGATGACGCAAATACCACGAAAGATATGGGCAATGAATACACTATAACTTATCAAGATTATAGATTAAATAGCATAGAAGATCAACTTCTAGGCCTCATCCGTCGTGACAACAAATGACTTATGTACATTGACCCCGTCCCATGCGCCTGGCTTCGGATTGAGGGTTTCCTGACTGCTGTGCGGGCTTCCCTGAGCTGTTTGCACGGTCGTAACAATAGCCCTAGTGTCGTCAGGGTTCAGATCCGGACGCCAGAATTTGGTCGAGTTTGTGGTATGTTCGCTTCGCGAGGGATGTTTGCCGTTCATACTCGAGAGCGGCATACTTCCGGAGGTTTTCTTGCTGCGTGTAGGAGCGTAGCTGGTTCCGCCCAGCCAGCGGAAGAGAGGGCGAAGGGTGACGAGGCAACCTGCTGTAATCCCGAGGCCCGCTTCGACATTAGACCATATAGATATCTGAGTCGTTGCGTCTTTGCTCTCATTAGCGATACGAAGCCTGGTAAGAGTGGCTGACGGTCAGACTTACAGAGGAACTCGGCGTCTTTGTAGGTGGGAAGGAAAGGGATACGGACGATGACACCTGCGCTGGCACTATTGCGAATGTTAGCATGCGATCGTGCATGGGTGATCATGTCCAGTCCGTCTTACATGCAACCCAAGCTCAGGATACCCGCCAATGCGGCCTTGGTTTGGCGACTCATTTGTAATTTCCACACCAAGAAAATAGGTAGCAATCCAAGTGTGAAATCGCAGATCATCGCAGTGACACTGTATACGTAGGCAATATCGAGGAGTTTATCAATAGACATGCAGTGTCCGGGTTTGGTGCGCTGCCAGAAGTGTGACACCGGTTTGCACTCAAAGGTTAACATAAACCAGAATACGAGGCCCACGATGATCGACACGCCTACCACACACCATAAGAGGATTGTGTGTACTTTGGAAACAGTAAGACGGAGGAGGGCCAGCGCAATGGAAATCCTGGCGACAACAACTGTCACGACGTAGCTCGTTTGACCTAGCCACCACCACTTCTCTATGTAAGCGAGAGCATTCGACGTGATAGTCAGTGTACTTACGAAAAGGGCGGTTTCAAGATAGCCGTCTTCCAGTTGCTCGAATTTCTGGCCCATACCGTACAATGAGCCAGTAATACCACATAACGCAAACAGAATTTCCAATCCCTATATAGAGAATCAAAGTTAACATTAACAGACTCTCTTAGTAGAAGCGCCGATAGTACATACCATAGCGAAAACCATCAGCGCATCATCCCACCCAAATGCGCGCACCAGCCGCAGCCGAACGAAACATCGTAGGCATACGGCAATGAAGGATATCCCCAAGAAAACCACAGTAACGATAAATATTGACTCACTGCGGCCCTTGAATTCGATCATGGTGGAGCACACAGCGGCGTGAGTGCTACAATCAACGAAGGTCGCAGGCTGGAATCGGGTGACATTGTCTCCCTAGGTGTGGGAGGAAGAGAGCGTGAGGCAACCTAGGCCGGGGTAACTGTCATTTAAGTGGATATATAACCCAACTGGCAACCGTTTTAGGGGTAGCCTGGAAGGGGGAAAAGGTTCGACGCTAAAAGACTGGTCCACGCATAAGATTCTTAACAAAGTACCGTCTGCTCAGCACAACCGCCCAATGACGACGAGAAAGCTGATAGTGTCCGAAATGCCGATGGAGCCCGGGTCTAAGTCTTAATGCTACCATGTGGAGGAGAGGGCTGGATTATCTGCTTGCCATTGAGGATCACTCCAAATGTACGGCATTTGTTCTGGTGCTACGGAGTACGTGGGTTAGACTTTCATGTAAGAACTAGTAGGAGGGACAGAGACATCGGCTGTCGGGTCAGTAGCCGCCTGTGATCTGGTACCGAGGTCTATAGTGGCGGACGCTGAATACTGAACAGGCTGATTGTCTGGCACATTTGCTCGTCATGATTTCACATCAGTCTATCTGGATACTTTCATCGTATGGAGCCTTGACATTGGATCCTATAGGATAGGAAACAAGATCCATTGGATCGATCCTTGGGCAGCTCGAAGCAGCCATTTCGTATGCCTTTGCCAGTAACGGCAAATGTACCTGGGTCATAGCGGAGTTCATAGGGACAGAGTGGGTGCTTGGGTGGGTTTTCGGTGACAGTCACTTGCTCTCCGTTTGAAAAATTGAAAAATGATTTCATGTAGAGAGGAATAACCGGCTGCATGCCGTGCCCACTGCACAAGAGAGCAGGTGGGCTGCGTGACATCTTTGGGCCTTTGGGATTTAGCCCACCCGGGCTCCACACTGCCGCAGCAACGTTTGCCCCAAGGGGCCTGGGCGCGATGAATACCAAGAAAAGATTACATTATAATATTTGGCAACCGTAGTGTGTTTTGCGCAGAAACAATAGACGGTGAACAACAACTCTCTTTTTCTCTGTTGGGACCTTGCCAATTGGGCCTCTCTGAGCCTGCGAGGACGAAGGAAAGGCAAGACCCTGGTGGACTCTGCAGAAAAATGAGATTGCCTCAAAATCCCCGCCGTGTGAGGAATCCCTGCCATGCATCCAGGTTATTGGTCTCGCAGGGACTTCCCTGTCATCATGCCTAGACTATTAATCATAGCGTGAGAGTCGGGCGTTGATCACCACAGCAGGCACATAATGTCGCCCACAATCCACCAAACCCGAAACGATGGAAAAGTATCCCTCATGGCTACTGCACTTAACATTAACGGCAAAAGGATCTCCAATCCACTCCCGATGAGCAAGATGTCAATCAAGATAGAATCAAGATAGGGGCGAATTCGACGATTCGAAGAGCCAGGGCTTTGTCCTATCTTCGATTGAGTAATGATTGACCGGGATCTCATTGTTCTCATGGTGATCAGCGCAGTCCACTTGTTTTCCAACTTGCCTTCCTGGGAGCAGAATGTGTTTGTTCTGGGCTCTAGAACTTCTAGATCCGTCCTTCCCGAAGATTTAGTCTACGGGAAAAAGCAATTGTTGGTTGCAATAGCTACAAAGTAGCACAAAGCATGTTGCTTTTCCCCTTCTCCTCTTCCTTCTTCTTATTCCTCCATGCCTAGGGTGTCCATAGCACCAAGAAAGAATTAATCAGTCACAACCGGGCACGTTTTGAACAAGCATTCCTAGAGCGTAAAGACTGTAGCCAGAATGGATGCTCCCGCTGGACACGGCACGGAAGTCGAAGTGTCGAAGGAAGGACCCGTGCGTGCCGAGATTCCCCCTCTTTGCCCTTTCATCGTTCGGCAAACAGCCCCAGTATCCCCACACCTATCCAGGCATCAGATGTTGCCGATCCAATAGTAGTGAAAAGGATGGAAAACTGCCACATTTCTGCAATAGCAGCAAATATATATAGCTACTTCCAGGCCTATTCTTTTACGACAGATAATTGATTTCCTATCATTGGCCAAAATCAACGTACACCTCGCCCATCAAGTCTCTAGCTGACATGGTCTTTCATGTGGGAGACTCAACGGATTTAGCATCATCTCTCATTTCGCTTAGGGCCTTAGCTCAGGAGTTCACGCTAACATGTCTAGCCCCAAAGACTAACCGCCCACCTAAGGCTTCAGATTTTAGACGCCTTGCCAAACCCAGCTAGAGCTCCGATCGCACTGTAGTTCGCCATCTACTTTCTATGGTGCCGACCTGACCAGCTGAACCCGCCGATTTCCAGTGCCCAGTTTGGCTAAACAAAATCGGCCCCTACCATCATGGGTACTATATCTATTTCGGGATTACTTCGCGTAGATCATGCCAAAGTGTCGGTGGTGATACCCTTTTCAGTGCATGCTGTCATCCTACCTTAGCACTTGATTATGGAGCTAAGGCTATGGATTTATCCTTCCAGGAACATGGTTCGGTCCGTCCATGGTTCAGAGGCACGGTGGCAGCAAGAACAATCGCAATTAACCATTGGTTGAGCTGGCCTGACATGCGAGAAATAATACCACTCCTCATGTCGATCGGAATAATTATCCAGCTTTTGAGGTTATTTTTGGTCGATCTTGTTAATTACCAACAATCTATTTAAGCTAACATACATGCTGCCGGCATTTCCGACCTCGTGGATACCCGAAAGGTTCCTTGCTCCAAGACATCTCGATCATCGTGTTCTTTCCACTGGTGCCGAATCTATCCCGTTACGTGCGGCCCCGATGTTTAACCGTTGGCACCGGCTCATCCTCTATCACTTGCAGACGATATCTCTGGCTGACATCCAATGTCTGAAACGCTGGCTGTCAGCATGTTGTTTCATCTCATTGAGGGGTAGCATCCCACCGACCCGTTAGCCGTCAAATATGGCTTTGGTGTCAGTCTATTTATAAAACCAAGCGAGTGGGGCCTATCTCTTATCAATGGTTATTGAATTGGCTCTTCGATAGGGATTAAATGTCATTCAGTGCGACTGCGAGGATAACCCCTCGGTGAACAACTATTTTGTAGACACCATAGAGCTGGACATATCAGGGATATGTCAATATCTCTTCAAAGATGAACTCAGTTCTATCGGAGAATAAAAGATGCCAAGGTTCATCTATCATTAGACTAATGAAAAGAAACAGGTTTCCTGAGCTCGCCCGAACAGGACCGCATCCAATAGACAAAAATTATAAACAGTAGTCCAGTTCCATCATGGCAACAAGTGGCAAAGAAGCCTGATATGAGCCTGGCACTAATCACTATTCCACCGCTCTCACGTCTTAAAATCAATATAAGCGGGCCACATTATCACGCGCCCTATACTGTGCAATTGCACATCATGGCATGCGATTTTTCCCTTGACAGCTTGTTCGTCTTATACTAGTAGTGATATCGGCAGTCTTGAGTTCTTGTGCTACCATGCCTCCACAAGCAACCGCTACGTCTAAATCGTGGCTCCTGAAACCCTCCAGCCATATCGTTCACACGTACTAAAGCATTGGAGAAATAGCACCCTCGAGGCCTGTCTTATACTGTTGACTGGTACCTAATGACTGCGAGACAGGGGTAGCTCTCAATAAAGTCATCTGCAGACTCGCTTGGGCAGATTACTATGAATTGACGAATCATCGGTGGCTTTCAACCATATGGTCAAAAGCCATGGATCTTAGGCCTGTTTTACATACACATAGTCCCTATTCCTTTGAGTCTTGGCATAGGTTTTCATGCAATTTTCCAGCTAAGAAACAAATTAACGCTGGTTGCATCAATATCCCCTACCATGTGATGTGTTCAATCAATGATGTTGGCCACCGAATAGGGGAAGCAGAATCTTTATTTCAAAGATTCGTGCCAACGGCAACGTGTTCAGAAGGTATCATATTTGAGGCACTGTTACTAAACTATTGCATCCTGGTTTGCGGATTGTTTGCGAAAGTTAGGAGTTCTGATCCTCGTGGGTTAAACAGAGCCCTCAAGTATCCATGATTGACTGTCCTGCAGTGAAGCAGGAGTCGTGGAATACCCTCGAAGAAAGATTCTCTTCAAAGGTTGATGTTTACTAATTTCCAGTAACCATGTGGAAAAAAAAAATGACATTTTGAGAATGCTTACGAGGAAGAGCAGTGCCCAACTTGATCAGCTCTTAGTTGGGTTGCTATACTCTGGCAGAAAGGCTCAAGGGATGTATTGGGCGAAACTGCGAGATCCTTCGGAAATCCGTCCTTACGAGTGAGTCCCCTTCGATGAAAGCAAGAAGCTAGCATAAATGGCTTGGAGAATTCCAGTTCTTCAGGAGAGGTGACGTTGTATTGTTTTCAGTCCCATGAAAAAGAGAGCCTTTTTAGACTCTGGGGGCAGCATATATAACTCTTAGACCACTCCTCTAGTGAAGCTTGTACGTCAGTACGGCCTCTAAGGCGACATTAAAGCTTTGCTGATCATCATAAGCCGCAAACAGGCGTCGCCTCATTGATAAAGCTTAGCTGGCGTACTATAAGGCTGCTATTATTTACACCTGAACGACCGAACTGGCAAACTAGAAGACGATCTTATTTTAAGCTAATCAAGTAACTAGCAGTAGGCTTTATACTTAGTGACTCAACAGTCGACACCACACATCGTTGAGCGTAAATGAACGGCAGTTTTTCATTACGTACATACAATGTATCTTGAGAGGTGTTACCTTAGGCCTGAGAGAATGATACTCTGGAGGAAAGTCAAAGTATGGAGTACAGAGTATAATATCAAGTACTAATTCGCTCACGGGTGTAACCAGCCACTAGTGGATGATCCAGTGATGCTTTGTAGTGGAGACTTAGCAGGGATCCATGCTCCTAGATTTCCCTGAAACTTGGTTCTCAATGTAATAGTGTAAGCCTTGTAGTTTTACTACTTAGAGATCAGCTCCTTAGCCAATGCTTTTTTGTAATGATTTTGGTTCTATCCTCAGTTCATTTTTTCGAATGGCTTCATCGTAATGGGGAGGGGAAAGTGGAGTTTAGAATCTCACCTATGTAGAGCTAAGCAGGGGATCCTCGCTAGCTCCGACCCGCAGATACTTTGGCTTGAGCTGAGTCCACGTAATTGTACTCCCCAGGAAGAAAAT